CTTGCACTTGACGTCTATTATCGGTCAATTCTGTCAGTGGCAATTTCCCCTTGTGTAATATCATCGCAAACACATCCTTGCGTACCCTGAACACTGATACGCGGCCTATGCAAGCATATCGAGGCAAGAGTCCATTGGGTGCTCCGACAAGTCCACTTTGCCCAGCAAACCGTGCCACTGAAGTTGAGCATCAAGCACGAGGTTAACGACCGCTGCAAACAGGCCTAATAACTACGTTCGCCCCGAAAGAGCGCACGTTAAATGCTTATTTTCGTTTTCCAATCTGTTTGTTGTATAGCAGCCGAACAAACTGGTTGACACCAACCGGTGCGCTTCAGATGATGAGACAACCGGCAACCAGATCCTTACTAAGTACTTGTGCTCTTCGGCATTTCGCGCTGTAATGGCTGTCAACCACCTGACCAACCACCAGGAACCCCTAGCGTACACCAAGTTGCGTACCCACTGCTTAATAAGCAACCTGTCCGTTGCACTTTTCGTGGCTAACCCTTTGCAACGAAGGGTGACATCCCTCAGTAAATGGAAAGTGCACAATGCAATCTGCATCGAGGTGTACACATTTTGCAATGCATGGACTTGGGCCATGCACTTATCAATCACCACTGTCCTTACTGTCTCAGTCGCGGGCAACATGTGGAGCATGTCGCGCACTGTGTTCATATGGGATGCAGATGTCTCATCCGGAAGCAACGCGTAGCAAAATGAACGCCAAATACCATGTACATATGCCAACATGCAGTCTCACAAATGTAGCCACCGCAGTTCATCTGGTGTGTCGCATCCGCCAGCATAACTTCACTATGTCCGCTACGGCAACCTCCCAGTCGCCTGCTGATCACAGGCCGTTGTGGAGCACGATGGCGTCTGATTTCCGGAGAAGCTTCCTTTGTCCTTCTTTGGACAGGGTTGAGGAGTTTTATAGTTTTTTTCAGAATTTAGGTTTCTGCATTACGTCAATTTCGGATGCTACAGCATCAGAAAGTGTGATGTGTCGCTGGTGGAGTATGACAGGGTCATTTAACGATGTGTCCGCTGCGCACGTCGCAAGTTAACAAGTGCAGGAAAGAGACGTGTTTAGTAGGCTTTTGCTTCTATTATTCTAAAGCATCCAGCTCAAGGGGTACTAACGGCAAAGCTCGCGTTAACCTCATCAGAACTGGAAGCAAGCTGAAAGTCACAAGCTTCGCTGTGTCTCACAATCACCCCTTTAACCGTTTTCTTTTTGGGCGACATCCCATCAATCGCCGTATGAGGGACGTTGAGTGTAGTCAGTCCATTTACCTTTTCCGCCACAACACACGGACAAGCGACGTCAAGCAGTTCGTTGAGGTTCCATTCGGAAGTCACATTACCAGCTTTGCTGTCCGCATTGTTCGTCGTAACCTGCGACTTGGTGTTAAGTGTAAGTCGATATTGGTGGTTTTTACTACCCGCCGTAACGTTGCATCAGCTTATCAAGTTAATGAAGGCAGACGGAGTTTCGCGAATTATTTCGGAAGAAGACTTTGCACACACGTATTATTCGCTCGGCATCAACAAATAGAACTATTCCGCCGATTCTTGCATGTCGTTTGTGTAGACGCTACACCTGGTGATAACCGTTTGGAGTAAGAATTGATAGCGTCCTTACTTGTTGCTTGCAGCTTTAAACTATACTAGTTGTTACTAACTGATGGCTTGGGTTACGGCCGGCCAATATTTTAACGTTTCTGCGTCGGGAAGATTACGCATCCTTGCTTACGTTGTTAGAAACGCTTCGGGATATTATGGATTATGATGTACCCGTCAGCATCATAATGAGGGACAAAATGGCTACTCAAATAGTGCAGAGCGCGAGGTTTTTCAATGCGACATTTCGTTGTGCTGCATCTACATCCGCCAGGTTATAATGAAGCATGTAAGTGATGCACCTTCATTAGCTTCTGTAGACAAACATTAACCGGTCGCGTTATCTGTTCATCGCATGGCAACTTCGGACAAGGAGACGGAGTATAATCACTTTCTTCAGGTACTATTCTTGTTTTAAATTTCAACAAGAGTTTAAGCTCCTTCAACCAACAGACCCCGGATTGTGCACTACGGTATGTTGTACTGGTTGTAAATAAAACGCTCGTGGGTGAAACACGCCCAAGATGGACTGATGCAATTTGGCGACACAACGAGCCACCGAGTTGAGAATGCCACTTTGCGGTTGAGGAAAATCACCCATGCATCAGATGGCCATGTTGCAGCCGTTCCCAAAGTCTGGGAACATTCGGAACTTCTCCTGGAAGTGTCCCAGATGCATGCCGCGTTTTTCTGTAACAGGCGTCAGCTACCAGAAGGCAGCGCACACGTTCATCGCGTAGGTTGCCTGTTGTGTACGCATGCAACGTAGTGATGCGCCATTTAGCACAAACCCTCTTACAAGCAGTTTACTCGGACCTTAGAGATGGAGTGGTACGCGAATAAAAATCGCTGACGCCTCCATAGTTTGAGGTATCCCACCAGGAAAACCGATTCAACATCCATTGCTCTTTGGGAACATGTACCTGCTCATTGCATGAAAGCATGGGCTTGCAGTGTGTGCATTTAATGACGGCATACAAGCGGCACGCGTACCCGACAAGTAAGCCGTTTCTGATATGAGCATCCACTTACCGGCCAAATACCTATTTACCTTCGCTGATCGGAGGTTTACAAGCTACCCACAGAGTCCACGCAGTTGCAGACGTTAGTAGTTCCCGTTACGAAACCAACTACATATAAAATCGCATAACTCGTACATCGCCTGGGAAGTGCTGAAGAGGTTAATCCATCCGGGTTTTCGGAACTGTATCAAGAGCTTCTGCGAAGGACCAACCAAGTAATTGGTGGTTCATCAGGCTTTTAATGTGCACAGAAACAATCACTTTGGCCGAAAATTGTGGCGTCCGCAGAAATGTGGTTCACACGCAGCATCCTGTTGTAGTTGAAGCAGTTCGCTGTACACACAATCGGTTACTTTACCATCGAAAGTGTTTGCGTGTGCATTTAGGAGCACGTTGTACAACTTGGGTCCACGCTTCACAAAGGGTAGCTGTGCCATGGTGACAATGCCTAGCTGTACTACCGGTAAGAAAGCAAATTTTTCCTTCGATATTTAGCATTTGGCCGTTCAACTTCACCTGATTTCGTAGTTTCCTCTACCCCATCAACCTGCTCCGTTTAAGAAGGTAAGCGACAGCTTAGTGGAACAATTTCCTGCGCATGAAGGCAGGATGAGATAAACATCGCGCCAAGCCCAAGTCAACAAATCGCCCCCCCCCATCATGTTACACTCGCACTTGGTACTGATTATCCCTTTTATTACGTTGCATCGGTAGGTTGTCGAAAGTGAGCCGGCGCGGTCTCCGCAACCAGAGGTCTTGTGCAGGACGCGGTGCCAAAGTAAGCTATTCTGCGCAATTTAACCTCCCATTTTCACTTCATTGTAGCGTCGACGTGCATGCTAGCCCAGTAAAGAAAACGCTGATAAGGAACAAACATGTTCAGATAAAATTCATTCAAATGCCGGACCGTAGGTTATAAAATAAAATAAATAAATAGTTTACGCTAAAACTACAATTATATTTTAGCCGATGAATACGACTTTGTGTAATGATACCCGCCATGGTACATGCGCTTCCAAGGCACGAATAAAGTGAACAACGCTGAACCTTTTTCCGCTGCTTCCTGGTAAATACAAAGCACAGTCGTTATCGCGGTTTCTGCGCTCCTTCGGGATAAAGCATTTTTAACAATTAATTGGACTAGCGGCACGTTTGCTGCCAATGTAATAGTACCTAGGTGGGCTGTAATAGCACACAGCTCCAAGGCTGTTGATCTTAGGACAGCAGCTCCATCCGTGGCACAATTGGTGCTGAGGTGATCGCAAGTTGGCCGGTGGTGCCGCGCACAAGATTCCGAGAATCCCCCACTTACTATAAAGGTTCCATCACTGGCCCTTTGGTGTCAGTGTACTAGGTCCCACGTGGATTTCAATAGCACATGGCTCCAAGACTCGTGAGCTTGGAATAACGGCTCCAACGTGGCACACTTAGTGCCAAGGTACTAGGACCTAAGTGGGTTGTACTAGCACGCGGATCCAAGGCTCGCGCTCTTAGGATAGCGCCTCCATCAGTGACACCTTTGGTGTCAATTTAATAGGACCCAGTTGGGTTGTAACAGCACATGGCTCTTAGGCTCGTGCGCGTTTATATAGACTCTAGCAGTGGTACATTTACTGCCGATGTAATATGACGCAAGTGCGTCGTAAGTTCATTTGACTCCGAGGATTGTGCTCGTGGTATAGAGGATCCATGTGTAGAGCACTCACACTATATAGTGTGGTAGCATCCAATAAAGCATACTGCTTGACTAAAAGTCATCCTAATATAGGTTCTTTTGGAAGAGCTTTGGTTATTCAAAATCATTTAGGGTTTGGATTTGCGGCTACAGATTTGCGTAATCACAATTAGTAGGTAGTTTACCGCTTCATGTTTACCAACATTTACGCCTAAAAATTTCACTTCGGAATTTCAGGGGGTGTTGGAAAATAGTTTGACTGAGCAAAATGTCGTCCATTAGGTGTACATTTAGACTGTTGAGGGCCAAAAATTTGGTCATTAAAACGGTTAAAACACTCACATTACGGCATGCATTTTCACCACTCGCGCGTAAGGATGCATATTCCGTCAACGTTACGCGGAAATCGATTATGGACTTGTAAGTACGTACTACCACAGTGACGAATTATTCGCACTTATGGCGCCATAAAGATCACTTGCGCTGACAGCAAGTACCGTTACTAATAAAGCTTTTTATGCGATAAAGGGCGCCGAGAATAAATAAATAAATAAATAAATAAATACTTTATTCTCGACTATGCGAGGCACGCCCATGGAGGCATGATCAGATATGTACAACTGTACAAATATTTTATGGCAACCGTGACAGCAATAGTAGAAAATTGGTGGTATGTTCGTGGTAAAATAAATAAATAGATAGTTTATTCTCAGCTTCATAGAGACGCACCAACTTAAGCATGATCAAGGTTTAAAACTGTTGTGTATCACGACGATACTCCGGGTTCAATCGTGTATAGTTGAAACGGTGTCAAGAGGAGTTGATATGTGAATCTAGTCGACTTGCCAGTATGTAGTTGTGGGCTGTGACTTTATTCAGTGGCGAGTCACATCCGCCACGTCGCAGTGTTGTTAAACAGACATATGTGGCTTTTTATAGGGAGAACGCTTGCCAGGCGAAAACCCACCACGTCCTGCAACACTGCCGTAAAGCATTTTGAACATTAATGTTGAACTGGCAAAGCCGCTTGACGACTGGTTTCACATTCGGTTTTTCGCGGGGTAATGGCTTCTAATTTCCTCTGTTAGTTGGACGGGTATTTTGCTCTGGGTCGCCATGATTTTTTGGGGTCGCTGGAGGAGAGGGACATCGCGATTTTTCTTCTTGTTGTATGTCCAGGTGAGCAAAAGTTTCAATTTTTCCGCTGTTCAGATTTTTCAGATGTATAATGTATGGGAGTATGAGGATGTGTCCAGTTCTCCATACTGGACAAGGGTTATGATGATTGTAGGTTGGTCCTTGCGGAGTTTTACTATCCTCCATGTCAGTCCTTGTGGGTTGTTCCGTCCGTCTTGGGCAAAATTGTTCCTCAGTCCAATCCCAGATCTCCAAGATGTCCCGGACCTCAGAGAAAAGGGAAAGTGGGAGACAACCGAGAGAAGACCGCAAGAACAGGCATGGAATTGAATATTGTTAGTGTCTTGTGTTATAACATTTGGGCTGGAGACAAAAGCATGTACACTGTGCAACAATAATTATGCTGAAAATGTCTTTTGAGTATCCTATAGAATCATTAGCCGTATAGGTGGATTGCTATCGCCTGCGTAGGGACAAGAGCGTTGCACCAGTAAGTAAGGTACGAGTATCCATTTGATATGAGTCGATAGTTGCGTGGGGATAGAGCAAAGAGAGTTAGAATGTTGGTAGTTATTGTCAGGTGCATGAACAGCACGTAGTTAGTGTAATCCGAGAGAGGGGCATAATAAGCGAAAATAAATAGGTTGCTGCGAGAGAGTCTTAAAGCTCAATTGGTGGCAGGGCAGCGGAGGGACTGGATGCAGATATTCTAGAGGAGTAGAGGTTAATCAGATACGGGGTGGCTCCTAACAAGCACTGGATCATCGCATATGCATGGGGCCGATGGCCATTAGCTACTTCTGAAGAGAAATGCCGAATTTATGACGACCGACAGATGTTGGCGCTAGGAATGACTCAGTCGCCAGATGCAGCTATTCCAATCGGACGCTTTGTCACTAGTGTATGCCTATAGGGTCGATGAGTGTATCTATGGGCCAGTGAAGGTAAGTGATAGGTCAACAGATCAGCTAAGCTGTGACGCAAACAATCCAAGAGAATGAACATTGTAAGAGTGAGCGAGCTCCGGATATCCGCAGAGTTAAGTGGAAGCTATGACGACTAGCTGCTGGTAAGCAGAGATAGTGTCTCTAGGAAAGAATGAATCAGTGGCTGCTGTAGCCATAGTATTAAGGCGTTTGTCTACTAATGGATACCTACAGCTTTGTTGAGGAGGTCAACAGGCAAGCGAGGTTTAAGAGTGACATACGGCAGAAGAGAATGAAGGCTGGAGAGTCAAGAAGTGGCTCCTTGTAGGCTACATGGAGCCAACAATGTCTAGCTATTGTCAAGAAAAGTTGAGGCGAGTAAGATGAACGACGGATAATGGCGCGCTAGGAGAGAGAAGAGTGACCAGCAATAGAGTTTGGGCTAAGCCTTCAGTAACTAGTGGATCCTACGGTGGCACATAATAGGTCGGCAAACCATCTGAGCTGTAAAGTAAACATTCCAAGTGAGTTAATATTGTAAGAAGGGAGCGACTCCCACAGAGCTCCGGATATCAGCAGAGTTAAATGGAGGCTATGGCGACTAACTGATGCTAAGCAGAGATATTGGCTTTGGAAAAGAGTGAACCAGTGGCTGGTGTAGCCATAGTATTAAGACGTTTGTCCACTATTGGATACCTACAGCTTCGGTGAAGAAATCAACATGCGAGGGAAACTTAAGAGAGACAGACGGCACAAGAAAATGAGGGTTGGAGAGTCAGGGAGTGGCTACTTGTAAGCTACATGGAGCCAACAATGATTAGCAATTGCCAAGAAGAGTTGACCAGAGTTGGGTAACGGCGCGCTAGTAGAGAGATGAATAGCCAGCATTGTAGTTCGGATTAAGCCTTTGGTTTCTAGTGGGTCCTGCGGTGGCATATAATAGGTCAACAAAACATCTGAGCTGTGCCGCAAGCAATCCAGATTATGAACATTGTACGAATGGAGCTACACCTACAGATCTCCTGATATCCGCAGAGTTGGATGGAAGCTATGGCGACTAGCTGTGGCTAAGCGGAGATAGTGGCTCTAGAAAAGAATGAATCGGTGGCTGGTGCGGCCATAGTATTAAGACGTTTGTCCACTATTTGATACCTACAGTTTCGATGAAGAAGTCAACAGACGAGCGAGGTTTAAGAGAGACATACGGCAGAAGAAAATGAAGGTTGGAGAGTCAAGAAGTGGCTATTTGTAGGCTACATGAAGCCAACCATGTCTACCTATTGTCAAGAAACGTTGAGGCGAGTATGATGAACGATGAATAATGGCGCGCTAGGAGAGAGGTGAATGGCAAGCATTGGAGTTCGGATTAAGCCTCTAGTTCCTAGTGGATCCTACGGTGGCATATAATAAGTCAACAAAACATCTGAGCTGTGACGCAAGCAATCCAAGATTATGAACATTGTACGAATGGAGCTACACCTACAGATCTCCTGATATCCGCAGAGTTGAATGGAAGCTATGGCGACTAGCTGTGGTTAAGCGGAGATACTGGCTCTAGAAAAGAATGAATCAGTGGCTGGTGCAGCCATAGTATTAAGACGTTTGTCCACTATTTGATACCTACAGTTTCGATGAGGAAGTCAACAGACGAGCGAGGTTTAAGAGAGACATACGGCAGTAGAAAATGAAGGTTGGAGAGTCAAGAAGTGGCTATTTGTAGGCTACATGAAGCCAATACAATACAATACAACGATGTCTACCTATTGTCAAGAAACGTTGAGGCGAGTAAGATGAACGATGGATAATGGCGCGCTAGGAGAGAGGTGAATGGCAAGCATTGGAGTTCGGATTAAGCCTCCAGTTCCTAGTGGATCCTACGGTGGCATATAATAGGTCAACAAAACATCTGAGCTGTGACGCAAGCAATCCAAGATTATGAACATTGTAAGAATGGAGCTACTCCTACAGATCTCCGGATATCCGAAGAGTTAGATGGAAGCTATGGCGACTAGCTGTGGCTAAGCAGAGATACTGGCTCTAGAAAAGAATGAATCAGTGGCTGGTGCAGCCATAGTATTAAGACGTTTGTCCACTACTAGATACCTACAGTTTCGATGAAGAAGTCAACAGGCAAGCGAGGTTTAAGAGTGACATACGGCAGAAGAGAATGAAGGCTGGAGAGTCAAGAAGTGGCTCCTTGTAGGCTACATGGAGCCAACAATTTCTAGCTATTTTCAAGAAAAATTGAGGCGAGTAAGATGAACGACGGATAATGGCGCGCTAGGAGAGAGAAGGGTGACCAGCAATAGAGTTTGGGCTAAGCCTTCAGTAACTAGTGGATCCTACGGTGGCACATAATAGGTCGGCAAACCATCTGAGCTGTGAAGCAAACATTCCAAGTGAATGAATATTGTAAGAAGGGAGCGACTCCCACAGAGCTTCGGATATCCGCAGAGTTAAATGGAGGCTATGGCGACTAACTGATGCTAAGCAGAGATATTGGCTTTGGAAAAGAGTGAACCAGTGGCTGGTGTAGCCATAGTATTAAGACGTTTGTCCACTATTGGATACCTACAGTTTCGGTGAAGAAATCAACATGCGAGCAATGCTTTAGATAGACAGACGGCACAAGAAATTGAGGGTTAGAGAGTCAGGGAGTGGCTACCTGTAAGCTACATGGAGCCAACAATGATTAGCTATTGCCAAGAAGAGTTGACCAGAGTACGGTAACGGCGCGCTAGTAGAGAGATGAATAGCCAACATTTTAGTTCGGATTAAGCCTTTGGTTACTAGTAGATCCTACAGTGGCATATAATAGGTCAACAAAACATCTGAGCTGTGACGCAAGCAATCCAAGATTATGAACATTGTACGAATGGAGCTACTCCTACAGATCTCCGGATATCCGAAGAGTTAGATGGAAGCTATGGCGACTAGCTGTTGCTAAGCGGAGATAGTGGCTCTAGAAAAGAATGAATCAGTGGCTGGTGCAGCCATAGTATTAAGACGTTTGTCCACTATTTGATACCTACAGTTTCGATGAAGAAGTCAACAGACGAGCGAGGTTTAAGAGAGACATACGGCAGTAGAAAATGAAGGTTGGAGAGTCAAGAAGTGGCTATTTGTAGGCTACATGAAGCCAATACAATACAATACAACGATGTCTACCTATTGTCAAGAAACGTTGAGGCGAGTAAGATGAACGATGGATAATGGCGCGCTAGGAGAGAGGTGAATGGCAAGCATTGGAGTTCGGATTAAGCCTCCAGTTCCTAGTGGATCCTACGGTGGCATATAATAGGTCAACAAAACATCTGAGCTGTGACGCAAGCAATCCAAGATTATGAACATTGTAAGAATGGAGCTACTCCTACAGATCTCCGGATATCCGAAGAGTTAGATGGAAGCTATGGCGACTAGCTGTGGCTAAGCAGAGATACTGGCTCTAGAAAAGAATGAATCAGTGGCTGGTGCAGCCATAGTATTAAGACGTTTGTCCACTACTAGATACCTACAGTTTCGATGAAGAAGTCAACAGGCAAGCGAGGTTTAAGAGTGACATACGGCAGAAGAGAATGAAGGCTGGAGAGTCAAGAAGTGGCTCCTTGTAGGCTACATGGAGCCAACAATTTCTAGCTATTTTCAAGAAAAATTGAGGCGAGTAAGATGAACGACGGATAATGGCGCGCTAGGAGAGAGAAGAGTGACCAGCAATAGAGTTTGGGCTAAGCCTTCAGTAACTAGTGGATCCTACGGTGGCACATAATAGGTCGGCAAACCATCTGAGCTGTGAAGCAAACATTCCAAGTGAATGAATATTGTAAGAAGGGAGCGACTCCCACAGAGCTTCGGATATCCGCAGAGTTAAATGGAGGCTATGGCGACTAACTGATGCTAAGCAGAGATATTGGCTTTGGAAAAGAGTGAACCAGTGGCTGGTGTAGCCATAGTATTAAGACGTTTGTCCACTATTGGATACCTACAGTTTCGGTGAAGAAATCAACATGCGAGCAATGCTTTAGATAGACAGACGGCACAAGAAATTGAGGGTTGGAGAGTCAGGGAGTGGCTACTTGTAAGCTACATGGAGCCAACAATGATTAGCTATTGCCAAGAAGAGTTGACCAGAGTACGGTAACGGCGCGCTAGTAGAGAGATGAATAGCCAACATTTTAGTTCGGATTAAGCCTTTGGTTACTAGTAGATCCTACAGTGGCATATAATAGGTCAACAAAACATCTGAGCTGTGACGCAAGCAATCCAAGATTATGAACATTGTACGAATGGAGCTACTCCTACAGATCTCCGGATATCCGAAGAGTTAGATGGAAGCTATGGCGACTAGCTGTTGCTAAGCGGAGATAGTGGCTCTAGAAAAGAATGAATCAGTGGCTGGTGCAGCCATAGTATTAAGACGTTTGTCCACTATTTGATACCTACAGTTTCGATGAAGAAGTCAACAGACGAGCGAGGTTTAAGAGAGACATACGGCAGTAGAAAATGAAGGTTGGAGAGTCAAGAAGTGGCTATTTGTAGGCTACATGAAGCCAATACAATACAATACAACGATGTCTACCTATTGTCAAGAAACGTTGAGGCGAGTAAGATGAACGATGGATAATGGCGCGCTAGGAGAGAGGTGAATGGCAAGCATTGGAGTTCGGATTAAGCCTCCAGTTCCTAGTGGATCCTACGGTGGCATATAATAGGTCAACAAAACATCTGAGCTGTGACGCAAGCAATCCAAGATTATGAACATTGTAAGAATGGAGCTACTCCTACAGATCTCCGGAT